GAGGTTCTACGTGATCCTTACCCATCTCTGGCCACACGTCCATCATAAACAGCCACCATCTGAAGAAGGCAGGGAGGGAGGAGACCGGGTGGGGACCCTACACGCAAGACATTGCCAGACCACCACCTGCTCTAAGGTGACCAAGCAGGATCACTATGCTGAAGTTCAATCAAGTTCATAGGGGATCTTAATCTCTAGCAGAGGTAGCAAACTAGAAGCCACTCAGCGCTCAGCTTGAGAATTACTTATATCAGAAATTTGAGCATGTAGCTGATGAATATCCACAGAGAGGTGGCTATTATTCCACAACCTCCTAAATGCTGTTGAATTAAGTTCCAATCAAGTTCTGGGTTGCTGAAAGATATCACAAATCTACTTATACAGTGAATAACCTTAGCTGGGAGTGTAAACTGGATAAATGTATTCCTTTTTAAGGGTTGGTTTCTGAGTGTTTTTGTTTAAAGAAAAGAAGTATTGAACAGCTAATTTAAACACAGTTTAGGGTTTTTATGCTAAAATAAAAGTATCTAGGATTCTGATTCAGTCTATTTGGAGACAATTTTCTAGCCTTCTCTGGAAATTGCCCCTTAATCTTTCCTTAAGAAAAATGTTCAACTTTTAAAAAATGAACTAATAACAATAATATCTAAAGCTTATTAAACTCTAAGGCATTGAAGCTATCTTATAAGATTTTGTTGAGATTAAATGAAATAAAGAATACACGTAAAAATACCTAGCCCAAAGTAAAAAGTCTGTTCTAATGTTATTTTGGGGGTGTTTATGTATACCCTTCCTAACCATTAAATCAACTTTTAAAGACTGAAGAAAAGGAAAAAAAAAATGGGGTGTTGTATAGCAGAAAAAAAAATTTTTTAATATATTTCTTCCAGATTAAAACAAAAAGAAAAAGAATTTTGTTTAATTTGGGGAAACATCCTAAACAGGGAGTATTTGGCTCTGGAATGTGTGATGACCCCATCCCACCATCAGCCTGGTGTATTTATTTAAAGAAGGAAGCTGCTCTGTATAATAAAGCAACAGAGTTTGGAGTAGGAAAATATTATTACATGAAAATTGACTTTGGGGAGCACCAAAGTAAAATCAAAATGACAAGAAACAGCTGCAAGCATCCATTAATTATTAGAATGGGGAATGTATGAAGTATGAATCTAGGAAAATTGAAAGTCATCAAAAATTAAATGGAACGCATAAAGGCTGATACTCGAGGAACTAGTGAGCTGAAATGGACTGATATTGACCATTCTGAATTAGACAATCATCTGATTTACTATGCAGGGAATGACAAATTCAAGAGGAATGGTGTCACATCCATTGTCAAAAAAAACGATTCAAGATCTATCTTGAAATTCAGTGCTGTCTCTGATAGGATAATATCTCTAGCCTACAAGGAAGACAAGTTATACAACTTTTATTCAAATTTACATACAAACCACCAAAACCAGTGATAAATAAATGGAAGAATTCTACCAACTTATTCAGTCTGAAATTGATTCACATGCAATCAGGATACAGTGACAATTACTGGTGATTGGAATGGGAAAGTTGTAAACAAAGAGGAAGGATCGATAGTTGGAAAGTATGGCTTTGGTGATATAAATGATGCTGGAGACCACATGATACAATTTTGCTAGACTAATGACTTATTCATCGCAAATACTTTTCAACAACATAAATGGCAACTATTCAGGTAAACCTCACTAGATGGAATATACAGGATTCAAACAGACTATATTTGTGAGAAAAGACAATGGAGATGCTCAATAGCATCAGCCAAAACAAGGCCAGGGACTAACTGTGGGACAGACCATCAATTGCTCATATGCAAGTTCAGGTTGAAGCTGAAGAAAATGAAAAGAAGTGCACAAGAGCCAAAATACAATCTTGAGTACATCCCACCTAAATTTAGAAATCATCTCAAGAACAAATTTGGTACACTGAACACTAAGGACCAAAGACCGGAGGAGTTGTGGGATGACATAAAAAAACATCAAATATGAGGAAGGCTAAAGGTCATTTAAAAGACAGGAAAGAAAACAAAAACCAATGTAGATGACAGAAGAGACTCTAAAACTTGTTCTTGAATGTAGAGAAGCTAAAGTGAATGGAAGAAATAAGTAAAAAAAACTGAACAGAAAATTTCAAAGGGCTGCTGGAGAAGACAAAGTATTACAATGAAATGTGCAAAGTATTATAATGAAATGTGCAAAAAGTTAGAAAACCAAAAGAAAAGAACACTCTCAGCATTGCTCAAGCTGAAAGACATGAAGGAAAAAAGGTTGATGGGGATGGGCAACTTAGACATTGGCTACCTAAAATGGGGTGAGGGGGGGACTATAAAGGCATAAAATGACTGGTTTACAAGTTTTCAAGAGGGAGTTTAGTTTCAGTGTGTGGGGGAAGGTAGAATCTCCACTGAATAGTTTTCATCTTGTCTACATGAAAGGAAATGGGGATATGATTCTTATGATTCAATAGTGAGTAACTGTTATCATGACTAATTGCATTTGTCACAACTGTAAAGGTAGAAGTTTTGTAACATAAATGTGGAGTAGTTTATCTTACATTCCAGGGACAGAGGACCTTAGGACCATCCAGGGAGAAGAGCATGAGTGGAATGTGGGACCCTATCTAGAGAAGCAGTGACACCAGAGATGGAATCAAAGATGATGGCATTGAGAGATAGAGCAGCTGAGGACTTTAGACTCATGAAAAGAGAAAGACTGTGTGCTGGTGGCCAGGAGTCAGGTTTGCAGAATGTGCCCTTTGGTTGTTTAAATGATTATATATTCCTGAGTATTTTTGTGTACATAAAAAAACAACAACACAGAGAGAATAGAAGCAAATACTGTTGAATAGTGATGCATGGAGGGGATTGTAATCATTGCAATGATACGAAATACGATAGATAGGATGAGTGCAAAACTGATGTTCTCCCATGTAAACTATCACTCAATGCATAATAAAAGCTTACAAAAAAAAGTGTTAAAAAACAAAGCTGTCACTTTGAAGACTAAAGGCCACCTGACATAAGCCATAGTATTTTCAGTCACCTCAGTATGTATGTGAAAGCTGGATGATGAATAAGGAAGAGAGGAGAAGAATACATTTATTTGAATTATGAATATTCAAAATACCATGGTCTGCCAAAAGAACAAACGAATCTGTTTTGTAAGAGGTCAGAATGCTACTTAGAAGTGAGAACAGTGATACTTCATCTCACAGCTTTGGACATGTTATTCAAAAGACTAAGACTCCCTAATGAGATGGATGGTCACAGTAGCTGTTAGCAATGAGCTCAGACTTAACAACAATTGTGAGGATGGCTCAGGACCTTGTAGTGTTTCATTCTGTTGTACATAGGGTTGCTGTGAGTCAGAGCAAACTCAAAGGTACTTAACAACAACAATAACAAAGCAAAAATAGGGTAACAAATAACATTGAGAAGCAGTTGTTGGAGAGATAAAAGGGGAAAGGCAAAGTTTGTTTCTGGGAAATACCCTGTTTAGGAAAGGGATTGAAGCAATTCAAGACATTGGTATCTAGTATGTTGTTTAAATCCATTTCCTGTTATGTACTATCTTGTAAATTGTCCTCTACCAAAGCAGTATGGAAGAAGAGCATAACTGCATAGGTGAGCCAACTAACCGAGCTAGAGAACCGTGGCAAAGTAAACCATGAATGTGAGAGATGACCATGGGAATGTAGACCTTACTCTGACCTTCATGGGACTCTATAGAGATCCTGGGGATCATACAGGACCCTATACAGTCAAGGCACTGGGGACAAACAGAAGCAGACACTTCATGTATTTACATATGAGTCAGTCTGGTCTCAGCTTTGCCATGGGGAACTTTTGAAGCTGAACTCTAAAGGAAGAGGCAGCAGGGATTACAGAGATCACTGGGGAAAAGAATGCTGTAGGGAGGTAAGAATTTAGATTCCGTCTGATTGGGGGCTCCCATTTGAACTCCTGCTTGACCACACTCGGCATGCCTGACTCATAATCCTCTCCCATGTACCTTGCGGGAGCTTCTCACTTTCTGTTCCAAGTTGAAGACCAGGTTGACATGGGCAGTGTGCTGTTCAATCAGGGATTCCAGATTCCTCAGGGCATTCTGGATCCTAGAGATGCAATGGACCAGTAAGTGTACCCGAGGGAACAGAAGAAGGTACACTGCAAGGAATGGGGACACTCACCGACAGGCCTTGTTCCTCATCTGCAGGGCCATCTGGTGCTGCAACATCAAGAAGGTGTCCAGAAAGTCTAGGAAGGTCTTAGGGGTGACAAGTGGCAGTAGAGGGCACAGGTGCTCAGTGTATCTGGTAGCCGAAAGGTGAATGAGAGCCATGGCATTGGACACATTGGTAATTGAGGCCTGGAGGTCTGGGCACTTCAAAGAGCCTGTAAAAGGCAGAGCCTCAGTCGGATCTTGTAGTTTGCAAGGGAGCAGGAAAAAGAAGGCATCTCTTCTAGCTCAGGAAGGAGGATGGAAAAGGTAAAGGAGACCCACTAGGTTCTAGAGAAAAAGACTGGCCTAGGCAAAAATGCTCATTAGAACCTGGTTGAGAAATGTGACAAGAGCAGGTAAAGGGGCTCACCATCATCAAGGAGTAGATTCTGAGCACCCTTCAGGTGGTGTTTGGCCACACTGACCAGGTCAGTTTGGTCCCATGGTTCATAATGATCAATGCTAGCAACAGCCAGTTGAAGGAGCCTTGGTAACAAGTTGGAAGGCAAATGGTTGTGGGTCTGGTCATCTCTGATCAGGAAGAACAGGTGCAGGTGGCTGCACACTTGTTGGTAGAACCTGTGGGGCAGAGGCTCAGATGCTCTTTCCCTTTCCCCCTGTCTCCCCACCTAGGCCCGAGTTTAGGCCCTCCAACCCCTTAACTCTCATCTTCTGTACCCTGACAGTAATCCCATTTGGCCAGGATGGAGTAAGAGCTGAACAAACCCTGGTAGGACCATACTTGTCCTCACCTTTGAAACACCATTTCCTTCTTGATGTTCTGTTTGACACCAGGGTTTTCTCTGGGAAGATGTTCATCAAGTTTGTCCAGATCTGCTTCTGTATACAGGTCAGGGAAACTACCTGAACTTGCCAGAGCCAGCAGGCGATTAAAGGTAGTGAGATCCACACCCTCAGGCACCAGCAGGGCTACCTGCTGGTTTAACATGCCAGCGTACCAGCTGGCATCCCGTAGACACTGGAGAATGGCTTCTTCTGATCCAGATGGCAAATGGAAAAGGCGGGCCTGACAAATACTAGCAGCCAGAGTGATGGCAGTATGGCGCCCAGCACTCAGAACCCCTGAGAGCAAAAGGCCATGCTGCCGGGGCCTGGCCAACACCCGGACCAGGCGGGCCACATGCTGGGTCACGGATCGACACAGGATAAGCTGGGGCCTCAGCTTTAACTGAGCCGCTGAAATGGCCAGCTGCTCCTCCAGGTTCTCCCACTGTCGTTCCAAATACAAGTTGGGGCTCTCCAAGCTGGACCCCAATATCAGCTCCTGACTAAAGATCAGGTCAGAAGGCTTTTCCTGGGGATTCAGTAGTAACACTGGTAGCAACATGGGTGTGACCATGTCTACCCGGGATGCCTTCTGCCACCAACTCTTAGATCTCTTTACCTGGCTCTTAAAGGTGGAAATAATTGTGTCTTCCTCTTTGTTTATCTTCTGACCTGTGCTCTCCATGCTCTCCTTGTTTACTGGCTTCCTGGATGGCGTTACACCTGGATTGCGGGAGTGTAAGCCTGTGGGAACCTGAAGGGTATAAAGACCCTCCTCTGTCTCACTGTCACTGTTGCTTAAGTCTTCCCACTGGGCCAACTCCCCTTCGGATTCCACTTCAGGCACTTTTTCCTCCTCCTCTTCATCCACGTAGCCCTTGTCCAGGTTCGGGGACCCTGACCTTGAGCAGAAGGTACACTGAGCTACTTCTAAGAGCATCTTGGCACAATAGGTGCGCTCATTAGGGCTGTTCAATCGGTCACAAAAGGTCCTCTGTGCCTCATGCAACCAAAGACGCATCATGTTGCGTGTCGCTATCATAATGTTCAGCCGGGTGCCACGCAAGCCTGACACCAGGCGCAAGTGTTCCTGATGGTTGAGGCAGTCCATGAACCCTCGGGAGCCCACTCTGGTTGGCAGCAGCTGCAGGCTGCCTAGTAAGTGGCTCACAGAGTGCAGGGAGAAGCGATAGTGTGGGTGAAGAGGTGAAGGCATGAAGCAATTGCACACAGTTTCCCAGGCATCCACTGAGGCCTGAACTAGGAATCCTGCTAGCAGCCCCTCCTGCTCCACAGATGGGAAGCGTTCAAGCCAGGCCTGAATGCTAGGTGTGTGCCTGCTCAGCAGGGTCGCCTTGGTCATGTTGCCTAGGACCAGCACTGTGAAGAGTCGAAAGAGGCGTGGGCACAGCGGCCGCTCACAGTAACCTGGCACTGTGGCAGTAGCAAGGAAGTTGATTATAGGCTGCAGTCTCTGTAGTTCCAAAGTGTTATGGGCATACACAGTGCCATCTATAGCCTGGCGCAGAGCCTCCAGTACTGGTTGGCAGCTTTTCTCTGGATCTGTGGGACATGACGAATAATAGTGAGCACATGAGTGACAGTATCATCGTGTTCCTCTTATCCCTCAGCATCTGCTTCCAGCACACCCAGGGTTTTGACTTCTGTACGTTTGATGTATTGGGCCTTGGTCATGTCTCAGTATGTGGTTCTCTCCCCCTTCTCCATCCCCTGATTCTACCTAAAAGCGAATACACTTCTCTTTTCTCCCAAATCCTATCCTCCACGACCAATTAGGTGTCAACTGGACTCCTGGTTGTGGCACTGTAGGATCAGAACTGGACTGTGAGCCACAAGGTCAGCAGTCCAAACTCACCAGCTGCTCCTCAGAAATCCTATCCAGGGTCACTATGAGTCGGAACCAACTCGATGGCACTTAACAATAACTTGGAGTCCTGGTGTGGTGCTATAGGATAAGCACTGGACTGCTAACCACAAGGTCGGTGGTTCGAATCCACCAACTGCTCCCTGGAAGACTTATACAAGGTTACTATGAGTTGGAACCAACTCGACGGTGCTTAACAACAACAACTAGCAATGTGTGAGTTTCAGTTGCTCCATATCTTTGCAACTATGTATTATTGTCAATCTTTTAAACGGAATCTTCCTAGTAGATGTAATATGCTATCTCAAGGTGATTATAACTTACAATTCCTTTAGTTTCTCCATCCAAAGATAACTGTAACAAATCTTCATCTTACTAGGCTTTTATGAATCAAGATGACATAGATATATCATGTACCACATAATAGATATTCAGTATATTATACCTGCTATTAGTAAGTACTTTTACCACCTGGCTCAAATTTTCTACATCTTATAAGAGACTTCAGTGTCTTACTAGACAATCCATCCAATATTTTAGTTCAATGACTTCCTTAACTTCTACAACCTATATTATCTATACTTCACTTCTGCTGCCCATTCCTATGGCATATTCCAAATTTGTCATCATTTGGAGGTGCACCAATCTATAAACTCTAAACGTCAATCTCCCAAACTTTCATCATAATTTCTCCCCTTTCCTGTCTTTTCTTCGATAAAATCTTATTGGGTACTTACTTCCTTTTGAGTTTGTCAAGGTAAATGAGACATATCCCTGTTTTCAGAAGTCCCTGAATGGCTCAAATGATTAAATCCTCATCTACTGGCCCTAAGGTTGGTAGTTCAAATCCACCTAGCAGTATCTTGGAAGAGAGCCCTTGCAATCTACTTTCAAAAGATCACAGCCTTGAAAACCCCCTGGAGCAGTTCTACCCTGCACAGATGAGGTTGCCTTGAGTTGGACTCAATTCAACGGCAACTAACAACAATCTCTGTTCTCATGAAGTTCAGAATGGGGAGGAAGGTACAGAGTAGTAGTAAACACAGAATTATAAAATCATGATTATCACAAAATGGGCAGACACAGGACAGATATCTAACCTAGACTGGGGCTCAGGCTTCCTTGAGGAGCTATTGCCTGAGGTGGTTTGGAAAGAATAAGGAGGATGAATAGAATGGAGGGCAGAAAGGAAGGCTGACTTGTTTGATTGTGAATGTAGTTTAATCCAGGTTAGATCAGAGTGTAAGAGGCTACAGAAGAAAGCCTCATCACAAATTGTCTCACAAGAGCATTTGCCAAAGTTTCCAGGAATGATTGGGTGAACCAGGGAAGGTGGAATGGAAATAAGAAGAAAGATTCAAGTGATATTTAGGAGGGTGAATCAAGAGATATAGTGAGTAGTCAGTCATTGGTTCAAGGATGAGATGCCAACAAGGTTTCTGACTTAAGTGACTGGACGGATGGTGGTATCAGTTACTAAAAGGGCACAGGGGCCAGGTTTTTGAAGAAAGATGATGAGTTAAAAGTTGGGTCTGTCGTGCCAGTGGCACAACAAGATGAAGATGTAGAGTAAATGGTTGGAGAAACAGATCTATTGCTCAGAAGAGAAGCATGGGTTGGAGATTTAGCAGTTGAAGCACAGAGATGGTAGATGAAACTGTGAGCATGTTTATGATTTGCTCAGGGAGCATATGTAGAATATGTAGAAAGCACTTCTTGTTTGATCTGGAGTCACATATCTGACGGATTTTAATCTCAAGAGATGACAGCATCTCTTTTCTTCCCTCCTCCCAGCACCTTACCAGAAGCCGCCAGATGTAAATCCTCCAGCAGGAAGAGAAGGTAGCCTTTAGAATCCGGGTTATGCCCAAGCAATGGGCTGGTTTGTGGTTGGCCCTGGACTCCTCGGCTTAGCAGGAAGCGAAGATGGGTGGAACTGAAGGTAGGGTTGATAGGGATGTACGTGTACGGGTGATTTGGCTCCACTAGCACCTCCACGAAGGCCGATTTCCCTGATGCTGTCTCTCCAGCCAGCAGCACTGGCTGTCCTTTTGACAGAAGCAAGTCCACCACATATAAGAGCCGTTCATTCTGCAGGACAGGAGCAGGGTTTACGGTGGCAGCTCCAGTTTAGGACAGTAACCTAGCTAAAAGTAAAGGTCTAAGGGGACTTGTCTTAAATCTGTGCTTGCAGAATACTTTACATATGATAATTGTGAAAACCTTTCAAAGATGGGAGTAGGTGGATCTCAGATGGGCCTAAAACATGGACTATTTATCTCCTTAAACCCCACACCCAGCTAGTGCCCTCACACCTGGGGAGAAAGGTTGAAGGTACCCAGAGTTCCTCTGATGCGGCTACTCAGGTATTGGCCATTGAAGGGGACCAGAGTCCCGTCTTCAGGGCATACATGCAGATCAAACAGCAAGGCTGAGGGTGGTGGCTCAGGGTAGTTGGAGATGCATTTAATAGACTCCCTCAGGAAGGTGTCAAAGACGGGCCAGAGCCTGCTCAAATGGATACACAGGCAAAAGTGTCAGTGGTAACAGTTCCATTTGTGTTATACTCACACACTCCACCATACCCAAGGTTTTGACTCTCATTGACCAGTTCATTTCAGCCCTCTGCATCCGCCAGCCCATACCCTTGTAGGCACCTGGAGGGAAGGAGAGCTCCAAATCCCCAGATCAGAGCAAAAAGAAAGCTGCTGACAGCCAGCAAGTGTTCCCTGTGCTTATTGTGCACATCTTCACTGTCTGTCTGGGACCGGTTGTTCAGAGAGCTGCTTTTTGAGGACTTGAAGCTCTGAGTCACAGGCTCACTACTGCTGTGGTCCTCTGCAAAGTTCACCAGAGTCAGAATAGGAACCAAGTAGAAAAAAGCAGGCAGGAGAGAGTGAAGTTTGGTTATATTACTTCTCGCCTTCAGTCCCTGGACCTGGGTCCACCAAAGAACCCATGTCCCAGGCTCCAGCTATACCCCAGCTACCCTCAAAACTCTAGCTTTGCCACCCTCTCTCAAACCAGTCCTTCCCTCACTTTACCTGGGCCACGTGCCTTCTCCTCCTCATCGAGGCGCAGATAGGGGTCAAGCAGACCACGAAAGATGCGGGCCAAGCTGGTAACTTCAGCCACGCCTGGGCACACAGTCTGCTGCCCATGTACCTGCAGCAGAGAACTGGCACCTTGGCAGGTGAGGAAGTGGAATGTGGCAGGTACCAACACTTCGGCCAGATGGTTGAGTGCCGTGACCGTCTGCTGCTGCAGGCGATACTCATGGGTCAGGGCTGCCATCAGGACGCTAAGCATACACTGCCAAGTCTGCTCTCCACCACACCAGACCAGGGCACATCGGCCTACTATTGTGGGGGACATGCCGGTGGCATCTGCCACTTCCATCAAGAAAAAGGTACTTGGGGGGCGTGGTATCTGCTGGCCATTGGGGAGATTAAACTCAGGGGGCTCACTAAGGAGATAGATGATGGAGTCCAGCCAAACAGCACTGGGTGCTCCATCACAAACAATCCAGTGCTGGATCTCCACTGATTCTGGCACCTGATTCTTTAAGCCCATGAGCTTACACTGAGTAGCTGCACGCAGCAGCCTGGGGAAGATGCCATGGTGCCAGCAGGGGCCCTCGAGCCATCCCAGGAACTCCTGGGGGCTGAGAACACTGGGGTACAAATGGGTCATTTCCACAGACTGGTAGCCCTGGGCTGAGGCATTCTCCATGGCTGCCAGCCGGTTCTGGATCTTAAATAAGCAGTTCCAACAAGTTGTCTTGCCACTGCCTGCAGGGCCGAGGAGCAGAATGCCCAAGGCCTGGTTCAGGGCCTGGCTCAACTGTTCCAGGGACCTCAAAATTTCCGGGCTGGGATACAGTCCTACCTGCTGCAGTTCCTCTACCATCAGTGGCTTCGGCAGTCTGTGAGTCATGGGCTCTGCCAACGCTTGACTGGCACCAGGGAAGAGCCCACAGAGCAGCTCTTGGAGCTTGTGCAGGTGGGGCTTATCAAGGATCCTGAAAAGCTGTGAGTGCAGCAGAGCTTGTAGTAGGGAGGCCTCTTCAATGGCAGCTAGGCGGCGGTGATGCTGGGACCTGGGCTCCTCCTTAGTTACATTTAGTCTCTGTATTGTGTCCTCCAGTACCTGCTTAAGCAACGGCAGGCGGCAGGGCAGGGGCCCAGACACCAGCTCACGCTCTAGGGAGAATAATTTGGCTAGGCGGTTAGCCATGCGGGAGGCATCCCGCATCCCTGCACCCAGCAGAGTCATCTCTGCTACATGGTACAAGTTGGGCAATGCCAGTGCTACAGGCCTCAAGAGCAGGCGCAGGTTGGCAGGCACAGCAGGGCTCAGGGCATGCAGTGTCATAAGACAGCCATAGCCAAGGCGCATGTACACATGATGGTTTTCAAAGAAGCCAGTGCCAAGTTGCAATGGATGGATGGGGTTGATGGAGCTGGTGCTTTGGGAAGCCTCCCGGTACAGTGGGGCATACAGAAGGTGTAGTTGAGCTAGGCGCTGGCCCAGGGCAGAGAGCAAGCCAGGGGGCAGGTGCTGAACTGCCTTCAACATCAGCCAGGCACCTCCCTGTAGGGCACCATTCAGATAGTTGCTCAGGCTTTGGGCTTCTGTCTGAGGCAAGCAGGGTAAAATCACCAGCTGGCGTCCTAGGGCCCGTGCCAGGTTAGTCACCATAGTTGTCTTGCCCACACCTTGAGGGCCCAGTAGGGTCCCGCAAGCCACCTCCTCAAGTGCCAATAACAGCACCAGAGCTGGCCGCTCAGGCAGCAGGCTGGGTAGTAGGTCCAGCCTGGGTCCCAGATACTCATAATTGTACAGGAAGGAGTGGCCCAGCACATCTATCCAGCAGGCAGCTGGGGGCTGAGAGGACCCAGTCGATGTAACAATAGTCCTGAGACTCTGTAGGGGACTTTTGGTCACGCGAGATGAACCCAGGTGGTACTTGAGTTGGCGGGCCCAGTGGAAATCTTGCAGATCACTGACCTCATGCTGCCGCAGCAGTTGTGCAATATCCCGATGGGTCACTGCCATGACCAAGAGGGCACTGAATAGGCTAGCCTGATGAACAGAGGGCAGGTACTGCCCACCCTGGGCACCCCTCTGGGCCCGCATAAATTGCACCAGTACTTCAAGCTTGCACACTTGCATGGGGACCAAATCCAGAGTGTTTCCCTCAAGCAGAGCCTCCTCCATCTCAGCCCGCCACATCACCTCCTCTGCCACCAGCACACACTGCCACGGAAAGGTCTGGGCTAAATCCAGCCAGTGGACTATATATTGGTGCAGGGCAAGCTGGTTGTGTAGGGGCTGTGTGCCATCCAGGGATTCACCCTGAGTAAGGCGGGAGGCCACACAGTCCTGCAGTGTATGCACCAGGACCTCACGCAGAGCCTTCTCCAGAGAGGCCAGCCACTTGGGGAGATCTGGATGCAGAGGAAGGGGCACCTGCAACTTCATCTCCTCCCCACCTGCTCCTAGCACTGCCAGTGCTTCCACAAGAGAAGGTGTGTTTGGGCTCGACTCCCAGTCACCCATGCTTTTCTTCTCATCAACTGAGTTGAAGCTCATTGCACGCACACTAGGAAAGCAACGTCGGACCCACTTCTGGGCCTCACATGATTCCAGTGGGGCAGCCAGAAGGGCCACCAGTTCACTGTCGCTAAGGAAGAAGAGGCGGGGGAAGTGAGTACGCACCCTATAGAGCACATTCTCCAGAGCCATGATGATGCCCTCCAGCTCTACTGAGCCTGCTTGGAGTAGTTGTTGCAGCTGCTGGCCCTGGAAGTAAGGAGTCCGCTTAGCACTGGGTACTATAAGAGACAAGACCAGGGGGTCAGCTATGGAAATCCTCATCAGGGTCCGATACTGGTCATCCATGGCTTTGAAGCGAGAGCTCTGTGTGAGGGTAAGGAAAGAGAGGGCAGAAATGAAGTGGCAGCTCCCAACACACACTGAACCCTGCTATTCAATAGCCACTGCCCACCCTGTTTCACCACTTCCCCTACCAGGTCAGAGCTAGGAAACTGGATCTTCATCTCATGCAGAACTTTATTCAGAAAAATCCACTTCTGCTGGAAAGTCACCCACACCTCCAGCAGGGCACCTATGTGAGCAACCAGAGGGATACTGGAGGGAGGCATTAGCATTCTAGCTTTTGCTAGGAGTCCAGCGTACTTTACTGTGAACTCTCAGGTGCCCCCACCAGCCCATCAAAACCACTCTGGCTCAGCAAAACGATCTGGTCCCTCATTCCAAGAATTAGTTGTGAAGGAGGTCCTCACTCTGTCTTTCATATAGTCCCTCCACTCAGCCTGCACCTTTCATCTAGGGCCCATCCTGCCTCTGGTCCCACCCATTAGTCCATCTATAGCTCGGCACTCACCCAGCCCTTGCATGATGGTCACCCACTCCAGGGCCACTGTGTGCAAATTTCCTGACTTTTGGATGGCTAGGATCTTGAATAACAGTTGAAGACTCTCTTGGATGGAATTCTGCAGGCTGCTGTAGTCTGGGGAAGAGTAAGCTCCAGCTAAGCTAAGCTGGAAGTCAGATGAAACCAAGGTTGGTGTGAATAATGCTCAGTGAGTAGTCCAGGTGACCTGGGATCCTTTCTAGGCAGTCTCAGAGGCCAGGATGTCTTTTCTGTCTTTGAGGATCACATTGGACAATGTAGTGATACCAGAGCCCTGTTTTGGAGTAGAGAGCACTGCCAGCCCACCACCCATACACACACATGCGCTGTGAGTACTCTCCAGACCTGCTGAAGTCCCCAACTTAGATACTATGAGTGTTGGGCTCTACCCTTAGGGAAACCTACTTTCACAACAGCTCTTTGAAGAACTCGAGCCTCTAGCCTAAGAAGAAAACTCGATGGTTCCAGGTCCCAGACATTAGTTTTTCTATAGCAATTCTGAGTCCGTTCTGAGATGAAAGGGACCCTGATAGAAAGGTTGAGCACAAAATCCTCTTTCACAGTCTGATCATTTTGTCTTCTAGTGCTACTAAAAGATTTATGCCATCATACCATGGAAGATTGGGGCTTGAAATGAGGTCGGTCCCTAACTAAGGGGGTAAGGTGAAAAAGTGAAGACAATAGAGAGAGGAGATAAGTTCAAAAGAGAAGCAGTATTCTTCCCCACAGCCCAAGTGGGAAGAAACTTTACTATCTTGCTCTATGAGTGAAAGAACTACTACACTTTCTAGAGAAAACAACGTCTCTATGGTCCCCCTCTCTATCCTTTTACTTACTCCTTCCTAGATGTAGAAACAAAGGGACCCATCTCTTGTGCTCTAAGGGGTGTGAGACAGGCCACAACTCTTCATGCAGCTACCTAAGTAAGTGTTCTTCAAGTTTCCCCACATACCCAACAAACTCCAAGTTGTCAATTGATTTGAGAAGACTGTGAAGAGGTAATGGGAGTCTCACTCAGACTTAGACCCAAGCTGTGTCCATCAATGCAGTAGCTAAAAAACTCATGGTATCTCGAGAATGATAACTCTGTTGCTCATAAATCTCCAGGAAGTCTCTAGAACAAGAAGACATTTTTGCTCCCACAGGTTGAATTGTATGCTCACCAAGAGTCAGAGTGTGCTTGGTAACCCACCTATCTAAGTGGGTTATGTTATTTTAATTACAGAATGTAGTCTAGTATTATATTAAACACTGAAAAATGGATGGATGGGGAAAGAGTTGCTCTTTCTACATAAACTATAGAAGCTGTCCATAAAGGTGAACTAATAAAATAATAAAATAAAAACATTGCCATCGAGACAAAGTCTCACCTCTGGCTGTACTTCTTCCAACACAGATTTTTGGTTTTTCTGGCAGTTTGTGACACTTTTCATATTTTTCTCCAACACAATAACTCAAATACATCCATTATTCTTCATCTTCCTTATTATTCACTGTCCAACTTTCACATGCATGTGAAGCTATTGAAAATACCATGGCTTGGGTCAGGTGCGCCTCAGTCCTCGAATTGACATCTTTGCTCTTGAAGACTTTAAGGATGTCTTGTGCTACAAATTTGCTTAAAGCAATTATGTGATTTGGTTTCTTGACTGCTGCTTCTATGAGTGTTCATTGTGGATTCAGGAAAAATGAAGTCTTTGACAACTTCAATCTTTTCTCCACTTATTATTATGCTATTTATTGGTTCATTCTTCTTGGATCAACTATCAACACTCATGGAAGCAGCAGTCAAGAAATCAAATGACATATTGCATTAGGCAAATCTGTTGCACAAGACCTTTTTAAAGTGTTGAAGAGCAAAGATGTCAGCTTGAGGACTAAGGTGCACCAGACCCAAGCCATGGTATTTTCAATAACCTCATATGCATGTGAAAACTGGACAGTAAGGAAGACCATAGAAGAATTGGTGCTTTTGAGTTTTGGTGCTGGTGGAGAATGGTAAAAGTACCATGGACTGTCAAAAGAACAAACAGATCTGTGTTAGAAGAAGTACAGGCAGAATGCTCCTTGGAAGCCAGGATGGCCAAAGTTTGTCTCTCATACTTCGGACATAAAATCAGGAGGGTCCATCATTGGAGAAGGGCATCATGTTTGGTAAAGTGGAGAGTCAGAGAAAAAGAGAGAGACCCCCAATGAGATGGATTGGCCCAGTAGCAGCAGCAGTGGGGTCAAACATAGCAACAATTGTGAGGTTGGCCCAGGACCAGGCGGTGTTTTGTTCTGTTGTGCATAGGGTGGCTATGAGTTGGTTCCAACTCTGTGGCACCTAACAATAGCATGTGAATCTGTGCAATCTTCCTGTCTCTCCAAAGCTGCTCACAAAAGTTCAAGATGGTTGTGCTGCGTCTGGTTGGCTGTCAATTCAGGAGCCAGTCTCTTCATTTTACCGCCCCTGCACAGCTTGTCCTCCCAATAAGTACGCAACCTACTTCTCTAACGTTTCCTCTGAAGCTCAGGGTTTCAGGATTGTCCTCTGTGTCTGTTTCATTTGGTCTCCTGTAGCTTTGCTGTGGAGGGTCTATGTAGCATGTCTGCTTAGTCCACCATCTTGCCAGTAGTCTCCTTTGTATCCTAGTTTATGATTTCCCTATTTAACTAACTTTTTGGATTAACCGGCTGAGTTTCAGTTGTGTTGAATAAGAGGATTTCTCCTCTACTGCCAACTTTCCAATGACACCATCTTGGGTGCCTGTACATATATACCTTCCCTGTGTCCTTCTTACCTTGCAAGTTTGACACATTTCTATTCATTCTAGGTCAGCATGAGGGCTTCTACCTAAAGGAAGACTTCTCTGAATCCCCCTGGTCTTTCAAAGCCAATCCCTTCTCTGAGATTTTTACTGCCCTAAATAAAGTGTTCCAGCCTGCATCTATGTCTGTATTGCTACCTGTCTCTTACTGGATTCCTGAGAAACAGCGCTGCTGTCTGTCTTAAGAGTCTCCTATATTTGGCACAGAGGAAGTAAGTGAGTTTTATGAGGGAATGAATGGGTCATAAAATTAGACAGGAGGGTGTAATCTAGAGAACACAGTATTGAAGGTAGAAAGGTGATCATGAAGAATTTCTGAGTGTAACCAGAAAGGGAAGGATCTTTGCTAAAGGAGCCAGGCATTTGGGGGAGGAGAGTCCTAAGGATATTAAGACACTGTGTCAGATGTTTTGGTCTGTTCTGTAAGTAAGGATGGACAGTGGTGGATGCAGTGGATGAAAATGGCCTCCAGCAGGGGGCTTTCACTGGGCCACTAGGATTGGGTCTCACCTGAAAGGATGAAGGTGCCACTATCCTTGCTTACTACATCCCACTGGGGACTACGGAGCATCTGTCTCTTGGATCGTTCTGCAGCTGGGGGCTCGTAGGGTACACGCAGAATAAAGTTGAGCAGGCGCAGTTGGCGAGCTTCCCAGGACCTCTGAAGTCGCCGGAGGGCGTCTTGGGCATGGATTCGTTCATTTTCGCATTGCCAGATCTGGAACAGTTGGGTCTCAGGAATCAGGACTGGGTAATGGCTGGGACTTAAGGGTTGAGCCTGGGGAACAACTCAAGGGCCAGAGCTCAGAGGAGTAGAGGTCTTAGGGATGAAAGAAAAGTGAGACCTTCTGGTTTCAAAGATGGCATCAGTGGCATCCTAACTTCTCTGACCCAGGGCTCCTGCCAGAGCCTTGGAGCCCACCCACCCTCTTGCAGGCTCCAGCTGAACAGACTATATTTCAATCATGAACCAAGTCTTTGGGACAGGGTAAGTGTTGGTAGGGCTGGTTATCTGTCATCTTGTGTGCCTCCAGCTTCTGAGTTGCCACCCACCACTGCCCTCCCCCAAGTAGGACATACTTTTGATCAGAGAGTCCAGAACGATGCATCAGAAACTCGTCTGGAGGCTTAAGGAGAACATTCATATCCTCCCCATGCAGATCAGTAATGTCAACCTGCCTACTGCACTCCAACATCCACTGCTCCTTTGTATGAAGGGGCTGCTGGATCTTAACTGGTTCAATTAGAGTTTAGCAAACAATTTCTAGACTTGGATCACCCCACTTCCTCCTGTGGGTCCCACCTGGTTGATTCGATCTGCAAACTCCAGCAATGGACAAGTAAGTAGCTGGCCTAGTGTTAGGAGGTCCAGATTAGTGAGACTTTCTAGCCCTAAAACTGGAGGTAGAAAGGACAGTATCAGAGCTTCATCCTATATTTGACAGAGGTCAGCCCATATCCCAGAGTCCAGTCCTATCCAGCCCAGGGGAGAGTACATATCTCAGAGCACAATATAGAGCCCAGATTCCCACGCCCTTAGCATACTTCAGAGCCCAGAGTTAAGTCTCCAACCCAAAGCCTAGCCTAAGTAAGAAGGGAGGTTAGAGAAGAGGAAGGCACAGGGCAATTTAGGGATGAGAGGGGTTTCCAGTAGGAGGAGCAGAGAACAAAGTTGCAACAAAGTTCTAGCACCTACATCCTTCCTCATGCCCCTCCCTCCCCTCTGACTCTAACCAAACACACCTCGTAGGAGGGCTTGGCAGTGGAGGTTCTGCAGCTGGAGGCTGCCCAGCTTGGTGAGCACTGGTAGGTAGCTGCGGAATTCCTCCAGCATGCGCATGCAGCGGTGCAGCACTGGGCTTTGCAGCCCCAGGATTGTGCTCATACGGGCTGCCTCTGTCAGCCAGCCATCCGTCTTTTCCAGGGCCATAACCAGGTTGAACTGTAGGGAGAGGGCTTCTCACTTCTCATTATGAGATCCTCCCCACCTCCACCCTTGCAGACCCTCCATTCCTAGGCAGGAATTCCAAGTAAGGGTATTGGCACCTTGGAAAAAGCCATGCACTTCCACTCGCTGATGTTTTCCGAGATGACTCGGTAGAGGTGCCAGATGCGCTGCTGCTGCACAATAGGACGGGTCCCACAGGCTGGCAAGGGCACAGGATTTTCATCTCCTGTGGGATAGGCTGTCTGAGGCCTGGGGTTAGGTGGTGGGGCATGGGGATGGATGGTCAATTAAGAGCCCATAATGGCAGAAAGGAGGGTCCAGAAACTAGGGGGGTGGGGAGGGAGAGGGTCCAAAATGTTAGTATAAAAATGGAGGCGGGTGCTCAACCAAAGGGGCTGTTATCCTAAGGACAGAGTATTCAGGAAAATGTGCATCTCATTCCACTCCAGCTACATCAGACCCTTTATTTTTGCTCACATACACCAGGTATGTTCCCTCCTGCTAAGGGCCTTTGACTGACAGTTCACTCCTTCTGGAACACTCTTCCCTCAGAGAACTACATGACTCAGTTCCTCACCAAAGTCAAGTCTTTGCTCGAGCATCACCTTAATATGAGGCCTCATTGAAAAGTGCTATCTATTCCCCCTGGCATGTGACCCTTCTTATCCAGCTCTATTTTTGTTTCTATATGACTTATAACTTTCTAACACGGTACATACCTCAAGTTATATTTTATGCTTACAATTTAGTGTCTTTCTCCCTGAACCAGATGCTGGTCTATATATATAACAATTTTAATCATTTGTTCATTGATCTACCTCAAGTACCTATCAGAATCCTGGTACATATTAGATGACAAATATGTGTTAAATGAATGAATGGATCAGCCCCAGGAGAGTTAAGTGAAATGCATATGAATAAAGGTTCAGCCCACAGGGAAAACCACGAGAGTAAAAGGTGGAGCTCCCTGTTGTGTTTACCTTTGGCAGTAATTCCCTGCCATCATCTCACAAGCTACTGAATTGGTTCATAACTTTTGGTTTATGATCAGCTGTGAGATCTGTGTCAAAAGTAATTTATAATTAATCATAATTATAGTGCTGAGGTTTTCAGTTTACTCAAAAGAATTGAGACCAGATTGAATGCTTTCATTTTAAGACTAGTATCATCATTCATTTGAATCCCAGTATACTTTCTTAAATCTTTCTTAAGTATACTTTTCCAGTATGCTTTCTTAAATACTTTCTCCAGACTTGACAGAGACACTCTCAACTCAGGAGGGCTGAATGGACTTTTCTAGAATGACAGTGAAGCAGCTGACCTAAATGGTGGGGCTCTCACGAGCAACAGCACCTTTAGGAAGTTATTGCCTGGATGGGCTCCAACTGTCCTTCACTGGCCAGTAGGGAGGCCCGCAGCAGCAGCAGACACAGGCTGGGGCACATCTGTTGCCTGCAGCCTCAGCCACCGACTATGCAGCCAGAGTGCTCCTTGAAAACCAAGATGGCCAAACTTCGTCTTTCATACTTCAGACATATTATTAGGAGGGACCAGTCACTGGAGAAGGATAGATACCATGTTTGGTAAAGTGGAAGACCTCCAATGAGATGGGTTGGCACAGTGGCAGCAGAGATGGACTCAGGCCTAGTTACGATTATGAGGTTGGCCAAGGACTGGGCAGTGTTTCGTTCTGTTGTACATAGGGTCGCTATGAGTTGGTACCAACTCGATGGCACCTAATTACTACTACTATTACTTTTTGAATGGGAGAAAAACACCCAAATGCAGGGAATCATGAACAGGACAATCTTATACATGTGAACAGCATCTATCCTGTCTGTCCTAAAATATTAAAAGCTGAGAGAGCTGACCTAACAAAATATAAAACTATAGTAAATCTAATCTCTTCTAATGTCTCTTTGTCTCAACTCAAAAGATCTAGTTAGAGATCTGTATACTCTTTGATAAAAGCTATTTCACTATCAAATATTGGACAGATAATTCTCTCTGTAAGAAACAGCAGACCTGATAGTTCCAGATACATGAAAATGTAAATACAAACTTGGGGATTAATAGCAAATATGCATTAAAATGGAACAGGAATAGTCAAAACAAAACAAAACAAAAAAACTATCTGCTTCCCCCACCAAATTGCTGAATCTCCTGTATTCCTACTCTAAGTATAACACCTGACATAGCCAATATATGAAGGATTTTGTTCTGCAATTTTCATTTATAAATGAGACTAATGAAGACATGTGATTCCTGAGAGTTGCTTAGGGTGCCAGGGAACACAGGACCCTGAGCCCCAAGCCTGAGCTAGACCCTGAAAGAAGGGTCTAGCTCACAGTGCTGGTGGAAGGGGTGGGGTGCTCAGTACCAGTGAAGGTGGCATATGCATGGTGCATTTCACTGAGGTGGCTGGCTGTGTTCTGGAACTGACGTTCCAGGGAGATGAGCTGGCGCTCAGTGCTCCTCAGCTCTTGCGCAGGGTCCATGAAGGGACCAGACACAGCCTTCTCGAGCAGGTTTTCCAGCTCTGCCAATGCAGTTGCCATCAGCTGCTGCAGCTTGGGTACAATGGCATGTCGCTTGCTGAGCAGGAACTCTGAGGCCTGGCTTTTCTCAAACTGAAATGCCTCCCATGTGTCTAGCAGCTGGAAGGCAAACAGAGGGCAGTCAAGTAGATGTGGTTGTGGGGAGGGGAACTGGGTAGCGTAGGTGTCTCTCAGAATTGCCCTCTCACCGAGATATCCAGCGCCTCATTTTCAGCACTGAAGTGGTTAAATTGGTTCCGGATGAGGTCATGAAGTGATCGTATGTATTCCACTCGATCTTCCAGTTCATTGTACTGCTCATTAGCCTCATTCAACTGCAAAGGCTACAGTGTGAGCTCAGCATCCATCCACGACACCACGCAGCCCTTTTGTCTGAGCAGGGCTGGTCGTGGTGGTGCATTATCACTCTCTGGAGATTCTAGGCCCCAACAGCAGCTTTTTAACCAGCTGGGAGCAGGGGCAGTCTGACCAGGTCTCTCTAAAGGCAGTACAATCCTTACCCACCAGACCATCACCCAGATGATGGGCAATAATCCCTGTCTGACTGAGTGCTACAAAGAACTGGACTGTGACTCTAAAAGCAGGAGCAGATCTTTCTCACCACATCAGGGCCCCCTGACATGAGGAAATTGAGGACCACATAAACAGGGAGCATTAGAAAGAGCAGAACACAGTTTAGGAATATCACGCTCCAATGGGAGACCTGAAGAGAGTGTGCTTTGTATCTGAGAAAGATGGGCCCTGGATGAATTAGATAAGTCGGATAGGGGAGAACCCACCTTCTGGGAGCACCGCGCAATGGCATGAATGTCAGAGTTGATGGTTTGGAAGGTCTGCATGAAATCTGTGAGTTCTGTCATTAGTTGCTTAGTGCGGCTCCAGCACTCATCCTGCACCTGTGCAAGGATGTCCTTCCTGATGCTGTCCAGCTTGAATTCTGGAGACAGGAAAGGGTTAGGTGTTAGGGGCTACATGAACAGAAGGGATACAGGGAAAATGTTTGGGATGAGTAAGGGAGCAGAGCTCAAAAGGAAAGGAAACCCAGCTATGAACACATTCCCACATTGACTGAAAGCTTTCTGCTCAGTATACAGGTCAGCTACTATTCCCTGGGGGCTGTGACACTGGTTTGTTGTTGTTAGGTGCCATCGAATTGGTACCTACTCATAGCGAACTTATGCACAGCAAAACGAAACACTGCCCGATCCTGGGCCAACCTCACAATTATTGCCATGCTTGAGTCCACTGATGCTGCCACTTTGCCAATCCATCTCGCTGGGAATCTTCCTCTTTTTCTCTGACCTTACCAAACATGATATCCTTCTCCAGTGACTGGTCCCTCCTGACAATATGTCCAAAGTATGAGAGATGAAGTTTGGTAATTCTGGCCTCCAAGGAATACTCTGGCTGCACTTCTTCCAACACAGATCTGTTGGTTCGTTTGGCAGCCCATGGCACTTTCAATATTCCCCTGCAACACCATAACTCAAAAGTATCAATTATTCTACAATCTTCCTTATTCACTATCCAGCTTTCGCATGCATATGAGGTTATTGAAAATACCATGGCTTGGGGTAGACAAGAGTAAATAGATGAGATAGAAAGTGTCCCTGCCCTCAGAAGCTCACAATATGGTGGCAGAGACATTCATGTAAACAATCACAAGCCAATGTGATAACTGCTCTGTGAGGGACCAGGAGTCCTCAGCCTATCATAGCAAGCTTCAGGAGACTGGAAAAGACTTCCTCAGAGAGGGGGTGATTGGAGTTGAATGTGTTGAGTAGTTAATGCTCAGAGGGACAAAGGTGTGAAAAGTAAACCAGCTTATTCCTTATGGCATCTCTAAAATTATAATGTTGCAGACTAAGTCCCTGAGGCAGATAATTGAGACACTGGAGATATCAGGGAGACAGTTTTGGAGCCTTGGAGGATGTGCCCAAGAGGATTGAGCACTAAGAACTGAGACTCAGAATGCCCAGGAAGACGGATACTGTTGGGGAGTACAGTCAATTGAACAGAACCCTAAGGATATGAGCTCATCTTTTTAAAAAATACTCCTCTTCTCTATGACAGTATCCAGCCCATTGCAATGCTGCTGCTTTTGAAACAGAATCAAGCAGGTGAAGGCAGACAGGAACTCAACAGTGACACTGAATGTTAACAGGGAGCAACGGGAGTAGCTTCATAAAATATCAGAGCTCCTTGGGATTGGAAGTTGGAGATAGACGGGGTAACAGATTTGAGAGGTATTTAGGAGGATGTGAAAGTGGAAAAGACACGAAAATAAGTTGAATGTGGCAGGTTAGGAAGAGGGAGGAATAAAAGGTCATCCAGGTTTCTAGTGAGACCAACTGACCAAAGTGGATAATTATGCCATTCATTGTTGAAGAGAGCTAGAGAATAAGAATATAAAATTACAACAGTGAAAAGGATGGGAGAAGACAGTGGGATGTGAAGTTGCATGAAAAATTTATTAAGCACCTATTGCATGCTGGACTTAGGATGAGTATTACAAATAATATCTCCTCACTATAATCCATATGAGCTAAGTATTATTATGCCCATGTTACAAAATGTTTTTAAGTGAATTTCAGTCATTTATAGTGTGGCACTCACTGTAGGATAAGCACTGGACTGAAAGGTCGGTTTGGACTGCAAGTCGGTGGTTCAAACTTACCAGTCATTCCTCAGAAACCCTATGGTAGTGGTGGTGTGTGCCATGGAGTCGGTTCCAACTCATGGTGGTGGTGGTGGTAATGTGCCGTGGAGTTGATTCCAACTCATAACCACCTTGTATATGGTTTCCAAGGCTGTAAATCTTTATGGGAGCAGAAAGCCTCATCTTTCTCCCGCAGAATCGCTGGTAGTTAAGAACTGCTGACCGACTCATAACCACTATGCTACCAGAGCTCCTTCAGAAACCCTATACAGGGTTGCTCTAAGTCACAACCGACTTGACGGCACTTAACAACAACAACAACATGGTCATAAAACAAGTGAAAAACAGTCAGACTTCCAAACTCTGTGTTTTTCTCTCTAGATCTGGTTCTTAAAAAGGTCAGCTGATCCTGGACTCAGGAGCAAGAAGCTAACAAGCTAGAGAGAGAACACAGATGTGCTGAGCAGCAGTGGAGCAAAGCCTACCTAAAACAGGCCAGAAAGAAAACAGACTAATCACAGGTCCTCCCCGTTCCTGCCTTGCTATCTGCATCCCTTGTACACAGAGCAAGGGGAACTGCAGGAAGTTTTTGAGACCCGTAAGATACATAAGATAAGGCATGTGCTTCATCTGTTGACCAAAGGTAGGAGCAGGCAGGCACTTTCAAGCAAACTCTTTTCAGACACCAATTCCAATGTCTCCCAACTCCTGCCAGTCATGGGGATTAGTGAGGAAACAGAAGAATGTCTCTGTTCCCTAGAAGAACATATCACTGGCTTCCAAGATTACTCTACTGTAAGCTTCTCCAAGTTCAGTTTCTAATCTAAGGCTCTTAACTAGTACACAACAGCATGAGACATCCATGGGAAAGGAGAAAGATAAGAAAGAACAAGATGAAGCCTTGACTTACAAGCTTTCAAGAATGAGCCTAGATCCAGAGGGTGTGGAGGAAGGTAGAATCTCCACTGAGTAGTATTCAATCTGTCTGGGCGAGGCTGATGAAAGGCGATGGGGATAGGTCCCTTGTGGTACAATGGTGAATAATTGTTATCAGGACTGCCTCCAAGGGTTGGAAACGTAAAGGTGGACGTTTTTGTAGCAAAAGGAGGGGAGTGATTGACTTTGCAGTCTAGGAGCAGAGGTCCCTGGAACCATCATGGGAGAAGAGCAGAGTGTGAGACCCTACCCAGAGAAGCAGTGACGCCGGAGATGGAGGCAGAGACGATGGCGTGGAAAAATGGAGAAGCTGGGGATTCTAGACCCAGAGATGGAGAGGGACTGTGTGCTGATGACCTGGGGCAGGCTTGCAGAGTATACCCTTTGGTTGGTTGATGATGCCTGGAGGGGATTGTAACCATGGCAATGAAACGATATACGATAGGATGAATGTAAAGCTAATGTTCTCCCATGTAAACTATCACATAATTCACAATAAAACATTAAAAAAAAAAAAGATGACGCCTTGAAACCCTTGGCTACCTACAAATGGACCTTGGCCTAGTTGGAGTCAGCAATGGCAAGGAGAGACCAATGACAAGAAGAGGTGTGCTCTTGTACATGAGATAGCTATAACAGAGTAGAAACCATGGCATGATTCACTGGGACAGAAAGAGGGTCAAAGGTAATGCTCCCAAGTATCCTACAGTTCCCAAATGGCAGAGGATACGGAAGCTCGCCAAGAGTTGACAGCCAGTAGGTCCAGATGGGATTCCTGTGTTGAGAGGTGAAGAACCCTGAAGCAGAAGTTGTGGTCAGTCTAAGACTGGATGAAGGATTCACTAAAGCTCTAAGGATCTGCAAGGCCAGAAGGAGACATGTAGGGTCAAATCAGCAAAGGGAGACACTCTGGCCCCAATTAGGCCAAGAGACCACAAGCCAGTTACAGCAGCCCAGGATTCATGAGCACCAGAAGCAGTGATGTCAGGAGGGCAGGGACCAAACAAGGATGCATAAATCTTCAACAAACGTCATGTTATTTGGTGTTGTTAAGTGCCATCCAGTCAGTTCTGACTCACAGCGACCCTGTATAGGGTTTCCAAGGAGCAGCTTGTGGGTTTGAATTGCCAACCTTGTGGTTCGCAGTGCAGTGCGTAGAAGCTAACAAAGAAAAGCACACAGCCAGGGGCCCACCCCCAAGGCTAGATGCTACTTTAGGAAGGAAAGTAAACAGAGAACACTTGAGAATAAAACCACCCTGAACCATAGGAAGAATTTTGAAATGACAGAGACTCAAGATAGACTGAATCAGACCAAAAGTGACTAAGTGAAAAGTGCTTTCTTTAATTGGGGAGTTTATGCTTTTCTTTTACCACCAACAGAAATTAGGACTACAGAGAAAGCCAAGATCAGTGAAAGAGAATCTCAACTTTTTACTCATTCAAATTGTCATGTAAAGTTTGATTCTGCTACTTGTGGGGAGAGCAGTGCTCCAGATTCCCAAAATCTAAGCTCAGTAGCTTAAGGACCAGAGTAAGAATGTTTTCAATCACAGTTGGTTTACACTACTTCCACACCATAAGAATAGAAAGTGTCAAATGGCAGGACCATGATTCTTAGGGAATGTAGGGAATGAGCAGAGTCCAGACAGACTGTCCTCTGTAGTGACCACATAGAGATCACTTTTTGTTATTGTAAAGGAAAAATCTGGAACTTGAAGCTCTGAGAGGCTCTGTGGATCCAATGAGAGCCCTGCACTAAAGGTCCCTAGAAGAACATTTCTGACCCAAGGAAGGCCAAGTGAACAGAGGTAAGAAAGGAAGACAAGCAACTCACCCATCTCTGCCTGTATCTCATGGCAGCTCAGCAGTAGCAGGTTGCCTTTTGTAATCAACTCGATAGGCATTGTGGAGACCTGGGCCTGCCAAGTGTTCAGGTGGCTCACCAGGGATGTGTAATTCTTGATGGGGCAGCCCCTCATGGCGTCCAACTGCTGAGGCCCCCAAGCTTGCACGAATTCATAAATGCCTGTTACCCAGTGATATTCTCTGCAGAATTCCTGCACTTCTGACAGTGCACCCTAAGAGCAGACAAGGAGCTTAGGGCAGAAGTAGGTGACTGTGAACTGATGGCCTCATCCCATTCCTCAAACCTCTGTTCTCACCTCCATCAGAGTCTGTTGTATAGTCATTGCCTGCTGGATTTGAAGGTTATTGTCAAGGTCTTCCTGCAGCTGCTTATAGTTGGGAGGTAAGTATTGACCCCGCAGGTGGTACCCGCGGACCTCCAAGATTCCAGTTATTGGGAAAGACTTCCAGGGCCACACCAATGCAATATCCTGGCCACAGAAGATACGCACAGCATTGCTGGGCTGGTCCTGGATCTTGGACGTCAAGAATTCCAAGTTCAAGTCATCCTCTTCATCTTCTGCTAGTGGGTTACATGCTATAATTATCCATCAGTACCCTCGAGAGCCCACACCACCTTCTTCTTCACCCTAAGCATGTAAGTACATAACTCATACCCCCTCCTCATGAGTGAGTTTACTCATACATCTACATCATACATAGAGAACACCAGACCCATTGAGGGAATTTATTAGTTAGGATTCAGGTACAGGGAACAGAAGCCACTCTGGTAAGTGTAAGCAGGAAGGGAACTACTATGGAATATTAAATGCATTGCAGACCAATTGGGAGAGCTGAAGAATATATATCTAAAGCTCAGTGAATTGGGATGTCACTGTCAGATAATCAACTGTAAAGATGTACTGTTCTAATCTGCACTAACAAAATGGATGGCATATGCCCTGCTTAATTGAATCCTCAATTGAAATGTCATGTAAATCAAATTGTGTTGTTGTTAGGTGCCAATGAGTTGGTTACAATTCATACAGACCCTGCAGAGGGTTTCCAAGGAGCAGCTGGAGGGTTTGAACGGCCAACCTTATGGTTAGCAGCCCAGTGCTTAACTTACATTCTCACACCAGGACTCTAAATCATGACACCTAACCACAGGGTCTCTGGGAAATGGAGGCAGTAGCAATCCAACCTCTAGAAATGCATGCTGAGGGGAAATTGGAAATGACACTGAGCATGCCATTTCTCAATACCTGCCTTAAGGGAGATCCTTGAACCTGGACTCCCCCTTAACTTTTTAAGGAGCTGATTGTATGCCAAATTTCAATATTTGTGTCAAAAACTTTGTACAAAAAGGAGAAAGACCACCAAATATTCAGAAATTATATCCACACTGCCAACACCTAAACAAGGTTTAGTCCTTAGATCTCTTCTCTTCTTGTCTCTGTCTACACCCACTCTCTAGGAGAGCTCATCCTGTTTCGTAGCTTTAAGCACCATCTGCTTTCTTCCAGATTTATGTCCCTCCCGGATCTCTTCCTGAATTCCAATCCCATTTAAGCAACTGCCGACTCCACACCTCCACTTGGATATCTAATATCCAACTTCAATTTAACAGGTCCAAAACTGAGCTCCTGATTTCTCCCCACAAAAACTGTTCCTCTTACCATATGCCAATTTTAGTAAATGGAAATGCAATTCTTCTTGTTCATGTCAAATACTGTAAAGTCAACTTTGACTCTTTCCTCACATACAAACAAAAAACCCAAGCCCACTGCCTTCAAGTCAATTCTGACTCATAAAGACCCTATATAGGGTCTCTGAGACTGTAAATCTCTGTGGGCACAGACAGCCTTATCTTTCTCCCACAAAGTGGCTAGTAAGGTTTGAACTGTTGACCTTGCAATGAGCAGTTCAGTGCTTAACCCACCGCATCACAATACCATCCACCTATCATCAAATCTTGTTAGCTCTACATTCAAAATATACCCAGAATCCAACCAACTCTCCCCACTTCTAACACTGCCCGCTGCATCCAAGCCCAAGTCGCCACCATCTTTCCCTGTATTCTCTCAGTACCCTCCTTCCTTGTCTTCCTGCTTTCGCCCTTGCCTCCAACATCTAACAATCTTTGCTCCACATAAGAAAAATCTTTGAAAATAATGCTAGAAGGAGTTCTGGGAAGATGGTGGTAGTGTCAGTATAGCTTTGAAATCTCTCACATTACCACATAAAAATCACAGAGCAGTTAAACAGTAAAACAAAACAAAAAACATATGAATAAAATTTTCAACAATATGAGGACAAAGGATCTTCATAAACCCTAAAATACAAGCAGATAGGAACAAACCACCTAAAGCCTCAAGACTCACATGATATCACCATTTGTGGAAAGAAGCAGAAGGAAACAATGAGTCACCAGATAGACCAGAGGTAGGCAGACTCAAGACAGAAGGCGTTTACTGGAAAACAGAGCCCAATTTGGAAAAAGGTAGACATGCAAGACTTTATATACCAATAATAGGTGAGGTAAGATTTTGTAGTGGGTTAAATTTGGTCCCCTATAAAAATATGTCCAAGTCCTGAAGAAGGGGCCGGCCTTCGAGCGACAGCGACGCAAGATGGAAGTCACCACGGGCTCAGACAATTTATGAAAACCGGATATACAGCCTTAAAATAGAATGTGGACCTAAATACCCAGAAGCACGCCCCTTTGTAAGATTTGTAACAAAAATTAACATGAATGGAGTGAATAGTTCTAATGCACTGGTGGACCCAAGAGCCCTATCAGTGCTAGCAAAATGTCAGAAGTCATATAGCATCAAAGTTGTCCTGCAAGAGCTTTGGCGCCTAATGATGTCTAAAGAAAATACGAAACTCCCTCAACCACCTGAAGGACAGTGTTACAGCAACTAAACAAAAGAAAAACCCCAGGCCCTCCCCTGTCCCCACCCTCATTCGATTTAAGCAGTCTTCATTTTCCACAGTAGTAAATTTTGTAGATGCGTCTTGTAGACCTTAAAGTACTGGAAAGGAAGCTCCCATTCAAGGGCAAGTTATCTTAAGATACTGTAAATGATACTAATTTTGTGTCCATTTGAAATACATAAATTGTGCTATAGCAACAAAAAAATATATGTCCAAGTCCTAATCCCTGGTAGTTGTTTGGAAATAGGGTCTTTGTAGATATAATGAAGTAAAGATGAAGTCATACTGTATTAGGGGAATCCTAAATTCAATGATTAGTGTGCTTACAAAAAAGAGGTAACTACACACAGACTCCTGGTGCCGTGCTGTAGGAACAGCAATGGGCTACGAAACACAAAATCGGCAGTTCAAACATACCAGCTGCTCCTTGGAAACCCTATACAGGGTCATCACTCTGAGTTGGAACTGACTCAGCAGCACTTAACAATAACAAAACACATGGCATACACAGAGGGACAAAGGTCATGGGAAGATGGAACCTGAGACTGGAGTGATGTAGTTACAAGATAAGGAATGCCAAGGACAGTTGGAAGCCACCAGAAGCAAGGGTGAGACATGAAGGATTCTTTAGGAGGAGTATGGCTTTGCCAAGACCTAGATTTTGGCTTCCAGAACTGAGAGAGAACAAATTTTTGTTTTAGCCATCTAGTTTGTGGTGCTTTGTTGAAACAGCCCTAGGAAATGAATACAGGTCTATAGGGGCAGAAGCAGTCTGCATCTTCTGAGCTCTTGAAACTAACCCTTCAGACTCCCTTCTGGCACAGAGCCCAGCACTAAGAAGGTGCTGGAAATAGAATAAAAATTTAACAGAATAGAAGCAATAGAGAAAAAGTAAAGAAAAAGTCTAGATAAAGTGATGGAGGGAAGCAGAAACCAGAAAGTCTCTGTAAGCTAGACACTATTTTTTCTAATACTATAAAAAAAACAATCTGTAGTGTAAGCATTGGACTGCTAACTACAAGGTTGGTGGTTTGAGTCCACCAGTTGCTTTGTAAGAGAAAGAAGAGATTTTCTGCTCCTGTAAAGATTTGTAGTCTCAGAAACCCTATACAGTGTCGCTATGAGTTGTAACCAACTTAACAGCACTTAACAACAACAATAATAACAAACAAACAATATAAAAGGTAACTAAGGCATTAGAAAATTATTCTGAACCAAGTGTTCTTCTAAAAGTTTGGGGAAATGAATTTAACTAAAATAAGCAATGAAAGGTATCATTAGCAAATCCCATTGCTGCTACTGTTCAATGCTGATGCATAGGTTCTGACTCATAGCAACCCTGTATAAGGTTTCCATGGAACGACTGGTGGGGTTTGGGGTTAGCAGTCCAGTGCTTATCCTATGGCATAACACCAGGACTTCATCAAACCCCACACATAGCTATTAAAAGAGAATAAGGTCACCCCACACAGGGTCGCCACGAGGCGGAAAGGATCAATGGCACCTAACAACAACAATAACTGTTTAAGCAGGGAATGACATAACCAGGCTTGTACCTGAGTAATATTCTAAATGTGCATTCAAGAATAAAGGCAAAGGAGCTCTTAGTGGCTGGTGCAGTCATCTATGTGAGGGACATTAGTACCTCCCGACTGTCTTTTAGGTAAGTCTGATTTCTTTAACATGTCTTTTTTTAGGTTAGCAGTTGAACATTTAGCCACTGTGCCACCAGGATTTCTTGTCCTAGAATGCAATGCATTTTAATTATTTGTTTACTGTTGGTGTTTTACCATCACCAAAGTTGTACTGCGCCTTAACCAGTACCAATGTTTGTCTTACTGAATAGAAGCGTAATCAATATCAGAATGCAAAGATGAAAGGAAGGGGACCCTTCCAAGACTGAAACTCAAATGGAACACATGAGCAGGCATATAAGCTTGCCGGTGGCTATGTTGATCTACTGGTGAGTGGAGGTGGGGGAACGGCAGCAATGAAGGTATGGGCTGAGTTTGATCATGTTCCATAAACTCCGGTTAACCTGGAGAGAGAGAGAGATGAGGAAGGACTGGTTGGTCGTAAGTGTGGTGAGACCTGGGGACTCCTGAGCCCATCAACAAGGACATAGCCACAGAGGGATAGAGCTGAGAGAGAAGCATCTAACTGATATGAAGTGAGGGGAGATACACAAGAACACTCAAACTTGTAGATAGTACCCATTTGACCTAACTTTGATGGCTTGATGATCAGAACTCAACTAAAGGAAGATAAACTTTTCATTTTAATAAAGGAAATGAATGTAAATTGCTACAATTTGATGAACTTGACCTATACTTATGGATGTAGTAGCTCAAAATATCAACTGAGAGGAAGGAGTCTTCACATCAAGTATTAATCCTATTCCTTCTGTATACAGGGTTGATATGGATGGGAAACTTAGACATTGGATACCTCAAATGGGGGTGTGTGTGGCTATAAAGGCACAAAGTGACTGGCTTACAAGTTTTCAAGAGACAGTTTAGTTTCAGAGTGTGCTGGGGAGGAGAACAAACAAGATGGCAGATCGGATGGATGTACAGAGTGTGCAGGGGAAGGTAGAATCTCCACTGAATATTTTTCATCTTGTCTAGACAGATCTGGTGAAAG